ATCTAAATCTAAGTACATCACGAGTGCTTCTATCGTACTCACCCTCGAACTTATATACATTGGTGATAGTGTGTGTGTGTGTGTGATTTAGTATCTAGATTGATGATCTAGATGCTTGTTTCATTTGCGCGCTGCCCGTTACTGAGCACATCACTGGTCACATGGTCATAGGGGCAGGGCCTTTGCAGCCTATGAACGGCAACAACGAGAGGAAGACCCCGATGCTGCCAGCATCAGTGGAGTACTCTCAGGACTCCCAATGGCTGAAGCCCTTTGGAGCTGCCTGGACTCGGCGAGCTGTGCAACTCACCAAGACCCCAGGAGAGAAGATGTCACTTCTCAAACAGTGGGTCCACCCCCAATGACAAATGGAGGTGGATGAGCCACTAGTTACCGACTTGGAGAACCAAGTCGGGGAGTCCTACCTGGATGAATACTGAAAGCTGGAACATATGGACCAGCTTACCAAACCACCCTAATATGTCCGAGGAGCGAAGGGGCAAAATATCACAATCACCCTACAACTGGAGACCTTTGATACCATGGCCCATCACTCCGTGAAGGCCCTGATTGACAGTGGCTGTACCAGAAGCGCTATTGACTGACAGTGGACCCGTGATCATGGTATCACCACACATAAAGCGGCTCACCCCACACCGGTCTATAATGCAGATGGTACTTGTAACAAAGGCAGTGATATCACCAAATTCGCTGAAGTCCGGCTCAAAATCGGAGACCACAGCGAGCGTATTGAATTAGCAGTTGTTGACCTAGGAACCACACCCATTTTCCTAGGACATGACTGGCTACAAAGGCATAACCCACTTATCGACTGGAACACGGGTTCAGTAACTTTGGCACACTGTGATTGCCGCAAAGTACCATTCCGTCTCCCAGACGAGGACCCAGAGCAGCAGTGGGGAACTGAGGTCAAGGATGGAGATACCATCCTCATCATAGACTTTGAGGAAGCCTTTCACATGTGAGCAGTGAGGCATAAAGCCAATGACTTAGCCGCCAAGGCCAACGAGGGGAAGAAAATAAAGTCATTCGAGGAGATCGTCCCCAAACACTATCGAGACTTCATCAATGTTTTCGACAAGGAAAACTTTGATGAACTTCTCCCTCACAAGCCTTGGGACCATGCCATTGAACTTATTCCCAATGCCAATGCCAGTCTAGACTGCAAGATATACCCCTTGAACCCAAAAGAGCAGGAGGAGTTAGACAAATTCCTTGATGAAAACCTGGCTACTGGCCAAATTCAACCCTTCAAGTCTCCGATGGCATCTTCCTTTTTCTTCATCAAGAAAAAGGATGGAAAACTGCAGCCAGTACAAGACTACCACAAACTTAATGAAATGACCATCAAAAACTGCTATCCTCTACCGCTTATCTCTGATCTTATGGATAAGCTGAAGGAGGCGAGGTATTTCACTAAGTTAGACATCCATTGGGGATACAACAACATTCAAAGCAAGAAGGGGGACAAATTCAAGGCTGCATTCCGCACTAACCGAGGACTCTATGAGCCCATGGTTATGTTCTTTGGACTAACCAATTCACCTGCCACATTCCAATGGATGATGAATGATATCTTTAAAGATCTCATTGCCCAGGGAAAGGTCACTATTTATTTGGATGATATCCTCATCCTCACAAAGGACAAAGCAGAACACCAAAGAATTGTGCAGGAAGTCCTAAAGATTCTGTGAAAGAACAAATTGTTCTTGAAAGCAGAAAAGTGTGAATTCAAGGTACTTGAAACCGAGTACCTTGGAGTCATCATCAGCAAAGGGTCCATTAGAATGGACCCAATTAAAATTGCTGGTATCATGGACTGGCCGGCACCCTCCAAGAAACAGGAACTGCAGTCATTCCTGGGATTCACCAATTTCGATCGACGATTTATCTGGCACTACAGCGCAATTGTCAAACCAATGACAAAACTCACAGGAAAAGTCCCTTGGACTTGGGGAAAGGAACAACAAGAAGTGTTTGAGGAACTCAAACATCAATTCACAACAGGAGTCATTTTGGTGATGCCAAATGACTACAACAAGTTTCGCATGGAGGCGGACTCCAGCGAAGGGGCGATCGGTGCTGTCCTGTCACAGGAACAGGAAGGGAAATGGTGCCTGATCGCATTCCTATTGAAATCTCTTTCCATGATGGAACGGAATTATGAGATTTATGACAAGGAATTACTAGTGATAATGATCGCCTTAGAAGAATGGCGACATTATCTTATGGGTGCCCATCAAGATTTCGAAATCTGGATGGATCACTCAAATCTGCAATACTTCCACAAACCCCAGAAACTCAACTGCAGACAAGCATGGTGGGTTACTGAATTAGTGGAATACCACTTCATGCTCAACCACAAGCCAGGAGCATCCAATAGGAAAGCCGACCACGACCAAGGCAAGAAGGACAATGATGATATTGTCCTCTTGAAGCCAGAATTCTTCTGTGCCTTGATAATGCCAGCAGAGGAAGAAATTCATGGCAAAATTCAAAGAGCAACAAGCAATCACCAATGGTGGGACCAAGGGATCGCTTCAAGCCTCAACCACGAGAAGGGGGTCATTGAGAAAGACCACCTTCTATTTTACGATGGACGAATCTACATCCCCTGCAACCACACCCTACAAGGAGAACTCATCTCCCATCACCATGACCATATCTCCGCTGGACACCCAGGCATTGAAAAAACCAGGGAATTAGTCTTAAGGGACTACTGGTGGCCTAAGATGTGAAGGGACGTGGAAACTTATGTACGAGGATGCAAGGCATGTCAGAGGATGAAAACTGATACACAGCAGAAAGCAGCTCCGCTACATCCCAATGCTGTACCATTATGACCCTGGGAACACATCTCAGCCGACATGATTACTGGATTTCCAGAATCTAAGGGCTATGATGCGGTACTAGTCGTTGTAGACCGGTTCTCGAAATACATCATGCTAATCCCATGCATGAAGGAACTCTCGTTGAGCGGATGGGCCAAAATCTTATGCGACGAGATCATTTGTCAATTCAGGATCACCCCCTCCAAGATCATCTCTGACTGGGGACCCCAATTCATATCAAAATTCATCACTGAGCTATACGCAATGATGAATATTCAAGGAAATCCGTCGACAGCTTATCACCCTCAGACAGATGGACAAACGGAGCGGGTTAACCAAGAACTCGAAAAATACCTTCAAGTCTTCGTTAACCACAAACAGGACGACTGGAGTGAATGGCTGCAATGGGCAGCATTCGCTCACAACAACTGCCAACACTCTGCAATGGGCTTTTCCCCCATCAAAATTGTCTTTGGACGAGATGGGGAGATTCGCCCAACCGCGGTGAGGCAGTTGGAAACACCATCAGTAACTGACTTCGTCGAAAGCCTCCAGAGAATATGCAAGCAAGCAGAAGACTCTTTGAATAAAGCTGCCGGAGTTATGAGAAAGGCTTATGACAAACACACTCGCCCTGCACAGGAGTACCAACCAGGAGATAAAGTCTGGTTGGACTCAACCAACCTTCACCTCCCCCGACCAGCAAGAAAGCTAGGTGACAAGCATGTCGGCCCCTTCAAGATTATTTCTAAAAGGGGGCCCTCCGCATATGAACTAAAGCTACTGCCAGGATGGAAGATCCACAACAAGTTCAACAAACGATACTTAACTCCGTACGTACCCCCGGAGTTTTCCAACCAAGAAAAACCTCCACCACCTGAGCCAGAACTCGTGGAAGGTGAAGAAGAATACGAAGTAGAAGAACTACTTCAGGACCATGACTGTATCATCGGCCGAGGACACAGCCGGAGGACCATAACAGAATATTTGGTCAAATGGAAAGAATACCCAGTGGAGGAAGCTACTTGGGTCAAGAGGAGCAATCTTGCCAATGCCGAAGAACTCGTCAAGGAATACGAGAACAAGGAAGACTGCATATGGGATCATGATTTGCGACACTTGAAAAACGAAAGGGGATGTATAACCATATCATCTCCTGGCTCTTCAACCGAGAGCTCAACTTTCTTTCCAATTCCCAGCAGGAATCATACCGATCCATTATTCTCTGACGAGCAGGGCTATTATTCATTGGACATGGATGAAGATGTCTTCGAAGAAAAGTGTTCCATGTCTCCTCTGACAACTCAGACCGACCCTAGTTTCCCTCCAGAAGAACGGGCATGTCTGCTTGGGAACAAAAGAAGGACTACAAATGGGATATGGAATCTACTAACTCCCTTGACTCAGGGAGTGAGTACATCTAAAGGACTGTCAGGACGACAGTCTTAGTCAGGGGGTATTATTACGACTTTACCCCTATTTTCCTTATCTTATCTTATCCTTATCCCTTGGAACCCTGGACCTACCTATCTTATCTCTCAGACCCATGATATTCTGTCGGCATACTCCTTACCCATTTACCCGGTTGCCATCACCCCAGTTCACAGCTGCCGCACCCCAGATGACCGACAACCCACATGTGCCATCACGCTTCTCTTGATGGCATCATGCTTCTTAGTAGTTGGACAAGAGTCGACCGCTAGTCAAGGGTGGTCTGCAGGATGCAGCCCATTCAGATGGAGTCCCACACAGATGCAGGTGATATGCGCCCTTTACTCTCATTCATCAGGAGTACACTTCTTTTAGTGTCCTCACTCCTCATTTGTTGAAAGACGCACTTCTCATTGCACATGCCCTTGTAGATACTATTCTTAGTATGAGTCTAACATGTATTTAAGCTAGCCTATGCTGTGGCCTTAGACCCCAGCTTCAGCTAAAGTTATATACTCCTAACTCTTACAAGCTCCTTGCTTTCGCTATAAAGTGATGCCTAACATCTTGCAATCTACCAACGCCTCTCTAACACTGAATCACCAAATGCGAGTGACAGGATAGAGACCAGCCTTGGTTCAGATTAGAGTTAGTGCTTAACAGACAATTGCCAGAGTATGTTTTTATTTAGTCGGAACAACACATTTGGGAAAGCTGATGTTTTTGCTTCAGGACTTTGCCAATCCTGAAGTTGTCCCACACTTGCATCTCTATCCTGAGGAGACAGAAGGACCTATCTCCAAAGTTTGGCAGGCTGAGCAGTGGAAAGAGTTTGCACCATCTCAACTGACTCCAATGTTCTTGTGAGGACTATGTCATTTCTATATCAAGGAGCTTTCTCAGCTTAAAGACAGAACCTATGTTATCCCTCACTGCTGGATTGTACAGAAGAAGGAATTGCATGCTGATTGTTCAGTGGTTACTTGGACAGTGGTATGTTTATGCTAGATCATAAGTCTGAGTTACAAGCTGATGTTCGATCCAGCCCAGATTGGATGGCATCTGACCAAAATGAAGTGGACAATTCCTGCCTCTGAGTTTGAATGGGATTACTTCAATATTTGTGCATGTACTGGGGACTCACAGCCTTTGAAATGGACAGGTATGTTAATATCTCGTTCTAGGTTGTGATAGTGAGCTGACTCACCAACTTCTCTTGACTGCTTACAGACAGTAGCCATGTGTCAGACATGCCAAACCAGCCATGAAAACTTGTTGGCGAAGATGAGGACCTGTATGTTGTGATGGTCCCTCTCTGGAGCGACAATGTTTCTGGAAACAAATTGAAGCAGTACAACAAGCATATTAATATCTATGCCTCAAATGGTTGTCTTCCTGGCCATCTCCTTCAGCAAGAGTATTTTGTATGCTTTGTGGCTACCTCACCTCATGTGTCATCTCCAGAGCAATTTGCAGCCCTGCAAGACCAAATCAAGTTTGTGCCTTTCTGTCTAATTATTCTTCCTGTCATTCTGATTCGAGACTGTTCAATTAAATAGCACAACTGAGAAAGAGCCTATTAAATGCTTTAATGCTGATACAAAATGAAAATGTGGTGTCATTCTGCATGTTCCAAGTCTCCCTGCAGATAATCCACAGCAGTCTGAGGAGGCCAGCCATATGGGTGAAAATGCAAATTGCGGTTGTCGTAAATGCCAATGGGGTGGTCCACATGAATATACCAAATCTGATCATGGTTATCATTCTGTGCATTATATGAGTGTAGACTATTGATCCTGGATTAATCATTGTTCTACCAAAGCTTACATTCTATGCAGGCTGGTATTGCTCAAAGTGCTCAGCAGATCAAGGACACTCTTGAGAAACAGCTATGGCAGGTGATGTTTGGGATAGACAAATGTGTTGAAGAGATGCAAACAGCAACTGGAACCAAGGATAAGGTTATGCAATACTGGATTGAGCAGCTTCTCTCAAAGGCAAAATCAATGCGAAATGACAATCTGTTAAGCACTAACTCGAACCTTCGCCAAGGCTGACCTCTATCCTGTCACTCGCGTTCGGTGATTCAGTGTTAGAGAGGCGTCACTTATAGCGAAAGCGAGGAGCTTGTAAGAGTTAGGAGTATATAACCTTAGCCGAAGCTGGGGTCTAAGGCCACAGCATAGGCTAGCTTAAATACATGTTAGACTCGTACTAAGAATAGTATCTACGGGGGCGCATGCAGCGAGAAGTGCGTTATTCAACAAATGAGGAGTGAGGACACTAAAAGAAGTGTACTCCCGACGAATGAGAGTAAAGAGCGCATATCACCTGCACCTGCACGGGACTCCGTCTGAATGGGCTGCATCCCGTAGACCGCCCTCGACTAGCGGTCGACTCTTGTCCAACTACTAAGAAGCATGATGCCATCAGGAGAAGCGTGATGGTGCATGCGGGTTGCTGGTCACTTGAGAGGCGGCAGCGTGAACTGGGGTGACGGCAGCCGGGTAATCGGGTGATGAGTGTGCCGGTGGAATATCTTGGGTCCAGGAGATAAGATAGGTAGGTCCGGGGTTCTGAGAGATAAGGATAAGATAAGATAAGGAAAATAGGGGTAAAACCGTAATAATACCCCCCGACTAAGACTGTCGTCCCGACAGTCCTTTAGATGTACTCACTCCCCAAGTCAAGGGAGTTAGTAGATTCCATATCCCACTTGTAGTCTTTGGTTTGTTCCCAAGCAGACATGCCCCGTTCTTCATGGAGGAAGCTAGGGTCGGTCTGAGTCGTTAGAGGAGATCTGGAGCGCTCGTCTTCGAAGACGTCTTCATCCGTGTCCGATGAATAATAGCCCTGCTCGTCAAAGGATAATGGATCGGTATGATTCCTGTTGGCAGTTGGAAAGAGTGTTGAGCTCTCGGTTGCTGGAGGGCCAGGAGATGATGTGGTTATACATCCCCCTTCGTTTTCCAAGTGTCGCAAATCGTGATCCTGTACGCGGTCTTCCTTGTTCTCGTATTCCTTGACGAGTTCTTCAGCATTGGCAAGATTGCTCCTCTTGACCCAAGTAGCTTCCTCCACTGGGTATCCCTTCCATTTGACCAAATATTCTGTTATGGCCCTCCGGGTTTGTCCTCGACCGATGACACGGTCACGGTCCTGAAGTAGTTCCTCTACTTCATATTCCTCCTCGCCTTCTACGAGTTCCGGCTTGGGTGGCGGAGGTTTTTCCTGGTTGGAAAACTCCGGGGGGACGTACGGAGTTAGGTATCGTTCGTTGAACTTGTTGTGAATCCTCCATCCTGGCGGCAGCTTTAGCTTGTATGCGGAGGGCCCCTTTTTGGAAATTATTTCAAAGGGGCCGACACGTTTGTCGCCTAGCTTTTTTGTCGGTCGGGGGAGGTGAAGGTTGGTTGAGTCCAACCAGACTTTATCTCCTGGTTGGTACTCCTGCGCGGGGCGAGTGTGTTTGTCGTAAGCCTTTTTCATAACTTCGGCGGCTTTATTCAGAGAGTCTTCTGCTTGTTTGCGTACTCTCTGGAGGCTTTCGACGAAGTCAGTTACTGATGGCGTTTCCGACTGCCTCACCGTGGTTGGGCGAATTTCCCCATCTCGTCCGTAGACTACTTTGAGGGGAGAAAAGCCCGTTGCAGAATGTTGGCAGTTATTGTGAGCGAATGCTGCCCATTGCAGCCATTCGCTCCAGTCATCCTGTTTATGGTTAACAAAGACTCGAAGGTATTTTTCGAGTTCTTGGTTAACTCGCTCTGTTTGTCCATCCGTCTGAGGGTGATAGGCTGTTGATGGATTTCCTTGAATATTCATCATCGCATATAGCTCGGTGATGAACTTTGAGATGAATTGTGGGCCTCGATCCGAGATGACTTTGGAGGGGGTGACTCCAAATCGACAAATAATTTCGTCGCGTAGGATTTTGGCCCACCCGCTCGATGAGAGTTCCTTTGTGCATGGGATCAGCACGATGTATTTCGAGAATTGGTCCACGATGACGAGTACTGCATCGTAGCCCTTGGATTCTGGAAATCCGGTAATCATATCGACTGAGATGTGTTCCCAGGGTCGGAATGGTATAGCATTGGGATGTAGCGGAGCTGCCTTCCGCTGCATGTCAGTTTTCATCCTCTGACATGTCTCGCATCCTCGTACATAGGTTTCCACATCTTTCCGCATTTTGGGCCACCAGTAGTCTCTCAAGACTAATTCTTTGGTTTTCTCGATGCCAGGGTGTCCAGCGGAGACATGGTCGTGGTGATGGGAAATGAGTTCTCCCCGTAAGGTGTGGTTACGGGGGACATAGATACGTCCGTCGTAGAATAGAAGGTGGTCTTTTTCAACGACCCCCTTCTCATGGTTGAGGCTTGAAGCGATTCCTCGGTCCCACCGTTGGTGATCGCTTGTTGCTCTTCGAATTTTACCATGAATTTCTTCCTCCCCTGGCATTATCAGGGCACGGAAGAATTCTGGCTTCAAGAGGACAACATCGTCATTGTCCTTCTTGCCCTGGTCGTGGTCGGCTCGTCGACTCAGGAGGTCAGCCTTTTGATTGGCTGCTCCTGGCTTGTGATTGAGCGTGAAGTGATATTCCGCCAACTCAGTGACCCATCGCGCTTGTCTGCGATTGAGCTTCTGAGGTTTGCAAAAATATTGTAGGTTTGAGTGATCCGTCCAGATTTCGAAATCTTGACGGGCACCCATGAGATAATGTCGCCACTCTTCTAAGGCGATCATTATCGCTAGTAGTTCCTTATCGTAAATCTCGTAATTCTGTTCTGTTGCGGATAGGGATTTCGATAGGAACGCAATCGGGCGCCATTTCTCTTCCTGTTCCTGTGACAGGACGGCCCCGATTGCTCCTTTGCTGGAGTCCGCCTCCAAGCGAAACTTGTTGTAGTCGTTTGGCATCGCCAGAACGACTCCGTTTGCGAATTGACGTTTGAGTTCCTCAAACGCTTCTTGTTGCTCCTTTCCCCATGTCCAAGGGTTCTTCCCTGTGAGCTTCATCATTGGTTTGACGATTGCGCTATAGTGCCAGATAAATCACCGGTAAAAGTTGGTGAATCCTAGGAAGGATTGTAGTTCCTGTTTCTTGGAGGGTGCGGGCCAGTCCATGATACCAGCGATTTTTACGGGATCCATTTTAACGGATCCTTCACTGATAATGACTCCAAGGTACTCTGTTTCGAGTACCTCGAATTCGCATTTTTCGGCCTTCAAGAACAACTTGTTCTTGCGCAGAATCTTTAGGACTTCCCACACGATTCTTTGGTGTTCGGCCTTGTCCTTAGTGAAGATGAGGATGTCATCCAAATAAATGGTGACCTTTCCCTGAGTAATGAGATCTTTAAAGATATCATTCATCATCCACTGGAACGTGGCCAGTGAATTGGTTAACCCAAAGAACATAACCAGGGGCTCATAGAGTCCTCGGTTAGTGCGGAATGCGGCTTTGAATTCGTCCCCTTTCTTGATTCGAACGTTGTTGTACCCCCAATGGACATCTAACTTAGTGAAATACCTCGCGTCCTTCAGCTTATCCATAAGGTCGGAGATAAGCGGTAAGGGATAGCGGTTCTTGATGGTCATTTCATTAAGTTTGCGGTAGTCCTTGCACTGGCCGCAGTTTTCCATCTTTCTTCTTAACAAAGAAGAAAGGGGATGCCATCGGGGATTTGGAGGGTCGAATTCGGCCAGTAGCCAGGTTTTCGTCGAGGAATTTATCTAATTCCTCCTGTTCCTTTGGGTTCAACGGATATATCTTGCAATCTAGGCTGGCATTGGCATTGGGGATCAGCTCAATGGCATGATCCCAAGGTTTGCGAGGGGGAAGTTCATCGAAATTTTCCTTG